CTTACAAATGAAGGGCCTAGCTTGGAGAAGGATGAACATTGGAGCAAGAACAAGCATGGAGATGATGGCATACACAAGGGGAACAAGAACGGAGTTACAAGTGATGATTTCAGGACGTTGAAGCCACCATAATGTGTGCATGAAGCCTTAGACGAAATATACAAGATGCCACTTCATAACTTTTGCCCAGAGGCTATTCTAGGTGTTGTGTTACCTTATTATTGGGCCAGGCCCATGTATTTTCGAAATACTTGAGTATAGGTCGTTTTTAGAGTCCGTATGTGTGGGGAAACAAGAGATAGGGTTGGTTTCAGACCCCTTCCCCAAGGGCCACGAAATTCCCCCCTCTTCCTCCATATATACAGCCCTTAGGGCGTCGTTTAGACTATGGGTTTTGTTTATATTAAAGTTCGCCATAGCTGCAACTTCGCGTACTTCATTTGTGTTCAACGACCAGACAAAGGCGTCACAAAACCCCACCTTGATCAATAAAGCTTTCATCTTATATTCGCAATCTCAGTTTCTTGCTTGTTCTTTGTTTGCTCGCAGGAAACAGACCCTCGTGGTCAGGTTGATCATGCTCCGGCGTGGTCAATAACCTCTCGGAGTTAGTTTAGCGATTGCTAAGGCGCGGCGTCCTCGCACGTTCGTAGTCGGATCGTCAAAGTCGACTTCCACCAAAGCGATATCCATCATCTCATCGAAAGACGGGACACCTTTGCCTCTATCACGAGCTGACGTGGACAAATAGCCTACCGCCAGGAATGCTGGCGGTAGCCTCTCTAACCCTACCGCCAGAACCTGTGGCGGTAAGGTGCGGCTGGGGTTTTGCCTCCTAAAGTTTCTGTAACGAAATATCGAGGTGCCCTGGCGGTAGGTAGGTTCGTCCTACCGCCAGGGTCCTTGGCGGTAGGGTCCTGCATTTTAAGGTTTTCAAGCTTAATTTTTGCTTCTTTTCAAAAATAATATAGACCATAGAATATGATCTCACATATTTTTTCAGTGATTGTTTCTTTTGTAAAGTTTCTCCACATAGTTTCACAAAGAAAGCAAAATATGAGCTCACAAAGAAAGCCAACAACGGTACAACAGGTTCTTAAGACAAGTTTATAGGGTGGGTCCTGTGGGTTTAGGTTTTTACAATTTTTATTGATTGTTTGTTTTGTCACAAGTTTCACATAGTTTCACAAATAGCAAAATATGAGCTCACATAATAATAAAGGTTCCACATAGCAAATATCAAACAGTTTACACATAGATTCATAAGTAGGAAATAGCAAATAGCAAACTTCTCCACATAGTTTGACAAACCCTACTAAAACATAGATACATATGCAATAGACATGTTTATGGGGCGGATAAACCTCCCCCCCCCTCGTATGTTAGGCATGGTCGTGGAGACAGATATGGCAGCGGATCCACCGGTTCAGGCGGAGGCGGAACGCTAGTCGGCATCCGACCGTTCAAGCAGTCCCACCTTGCCTTGCCCGCCGGAGTTTTTGCCTCCGCCCTTCCCCAGTTGATGATATCGAACGCCGATGCACTTGGGGGCGGCATCCTGGCTCTCTCCTACGCATTGCTCCCGAAGTAGATCCTCCGCCCCAAATTGCGCAGCTCCCAGTTGGAGTGTTGCTTGGCATGCAACTTCAATGGTCCCTTCCCGGCGTTCTTGGAAGATAGTTGGATCTCCCTCCATCTCTGCAATCACTCTCTTCCACTCCTTCGCACTCTGCGCCCAACACTTCTGATCATCGGAGAACCGTTATGCCCTCTCGTGTCACCGCACTGCCCTCGTCTCATGTAGGAACTCGTCTGAAAAATCTTCCACCGGCTGTAGAAACTCGGGGAAGGACTCGTACACGTACGGAAGTGACAAGGAAGAAGGGTCGTGTTGGAGATGAATGGGCGATGGTTGCGCCACTGTTGCAGACCTAAACATATGGATTAAATAAAGAAAATACATATATTAAGATGTGTCAAATGCAAAATCATACCATATCATATTTACTCCAACCAAATCCACTACTCCAATATGCATCATATCAACATGCATCATATCATAAAAAAAATCCTCCAACATTCATCTTGAATGTATTGTCTCCAAACAACATCGTCATATCATCATATCAACATGCATCATAAAACTACTATCAAGTCCTCCCACATGCATTACATCATAATCTTTTTAACACAAACATATGAACTATTGATTAGAGTTCATATTCAATGTCACTACTTACTAAAGAACTAAGAACTACAACTACAAGCAAGCTAAAACAATCTTAGTTACAAAAAAAATTCAATCTAAGTTCAAAAATATGAGGGATTTGAAGCAAATAATGCGTCGAATCGAAAGCAAGTTTGTAAAAACTAATTGAAGGGATCAGAGGAGCTTACGTTTCTCTCTTCGGGGCCATCTCGATCCGTAAAAACAGTGAAGAAACGGTGAAGATCCGAGGGGGAGAGTGGAGGAGATGAGAGAGGGAGAGAGGGGCGAGTTGGGGAACAAAAGATGAAACTGCCGACGGGGGGAGGGGAAGGGGTGCGGGGTTTCGGGCGAAATAATTGCCCTGACCCTACCGCCACGGACGCTGGCGGTAGGCTCAGACAGGCTACCGCCAGGTACCCTGGCGGTAGGGTGCGACGGAGGGGGACGGCGGGCGTCTCCGCGTGCTGACGTGGATTACTGCCCTACCGCCAGCCTCCCTGGCGGTAGCCTGTCTAACACTACCGCCAGAAACCCTGGCAGTAAGAAAAAGGATCTATCCCGAATTTTTTTTCAACCGGGGTCAGATCCTGAATTTATATAGTAAAAGGTTCAAAACACGAAAATTTGCCGAAGCAGGTAGACCAAGCTAAATGAGTTATGCACTGGGCCACATGGGCACAAGTACGAGCATGACAGCACGCTGGGGCTGTTTGGTTGGGCGCTCAGTTTGCCACGCGTAAACAGAGGCGGGTGTGGCGCGCCACAAAGTGGGGCGGTCAAAATGAACGCCACACTTTAGGCGAAAATTTCTACAGCAAAAGCCTCTTTCAATTGTGACGAGCCTAACCTTAGTAGAGAACCAAACATATAACTAGGAAGATGCGGCACGCCACACCTTTGACATGGCTAGCTAAGGTGGCAACCAAACAGCCTCGCTATGTCCCCCTTGGAGTTTTCCGTGTTTCTTTATATTTTTGCTGAGAGACGTAAGAGAGAGAGAGAGACGCCACGGCGTTTGCGGCAAGCCGCCGCTGCTCCTTGTAAATTTCAATCGTACAACGATATTGAATTGCAAGCAAGATGCCACGGCGTTTCATCAGTTAGCAACACTTCTGGCAGCACACGTTGCAAGTAACGACCTACAACATGCCACGACGTCGTCGGTGCCTGCCGTAGCCAAGATCGCCAACGTACAAAAGGAAGAAAGTTCAGGCTGCCTCTGGATCGATGTTGCCACCTCATGTTGAAATAACTACTAGTAATTAATTCTGTAATGAGACTAGTCAGTCGGCAGGCGGGCCAAAACTCGCCGATCGGGTGACTTCTCCGGAGCTCCGGCGAGCCATCAACTCACACATCAGCCTTCCGACGTCATCGTACGAAGATCCGCCCTTCTTCATGGCGCTCCTTGCTTTCACACTGAGGTCCTTGGCCTTCTTCCGTACGGCGTCGCCCTCCTCGCTGCTGCCCATCAGCCTCCCGATGCATCCAGCGATCACCTCGCCGCCGATCACCTCATGTCTCTCCAGAGGCGAGGCGAAGTCCTTGGCGCCGATGCTGACACCCACCTTGAGCATATCCACGATGAGCTTCTCGTTGTAGAACTGGTCCGCGTACTGCGGCCACGTGACCATCGGCACGCCGGCGCTCACGGCCTCCAGCGCCGAGTTCCAGCCGCAGTGCGTCATGAAGCCGCGCATGGCGGGGTGGTTGAGGATGAGCGTCTGCGGCGCCCAGTCTCGGATGATGATGCCGCGGTCACCGCGTGCCATCAGCTCGGCGAAGCCCTCAGGCATCCACTCTGACCCGTCCGTGCCTGTGCCGGAGCTGATGATCCACATGAAGTCCTTGCCAGAGAGGTCCAGGCCGCTGGCGAGCTCGCGCAGCTCGGCCGGCGAGAAACTGGTGAACGTGCCAAAGGAGACGTACACCACCGAGCCGGCCCGCTTTGCGTCCAAGGTCCAACCACCGCAGGCAGTCGTCGATGACGTGTGCCTTCGTGTTGTTGGTGCTGCCTCTCTTAGCCATGTCTTTGCTGGCGAGCGCGACCGGCCCCACGAGCCACGCACGGCGGCCGAGCGTCGTGCGGAAGTGCTCGACGTAGTCCGGCTCCAGCTCGTGGAAGCTGTTGAACACCTCGCCGAAGCTCCTCTGGTCCGCGGCATCGTTGTCCTTGTGGAATGCCCACATCGCCGGCCGCTTCCTGGGATCCATCATCTGGCTCCGCCTCAGCTGGACACGGTGCGGCAGCCCCGGCAGGGAGACGAGCTGGGCGTCGTCATCAGGGTCGTCGTCGGTGGTAGCCGTCGTTGTCTCCAGCGGGTTGGTGCGCAGCATGGTCTCGCTGCAGCACCGGGTGAACACGCTGCTGCCGAGGAACACGACGCGCGGGACGCCGTGCTCCCGGCCGGCGTCCGCGGACCAGCTGAAGAAGCTGTCGGACACGACGGCGTCGGGGCGGTTAGCAGCCATGAACCGGTCGAAGGGCTCGCGGAGCAGCTGCGCGGCCTGGATGAACTTGAAGTTGTAGTCGGCTCCGTGGGCTGGAGTAAGGGATATGAGGTTCTCCATGCCTGGGAGGAGCCCTACGTCGGGGAAAGGCACGACGGAGATGTCGACTGCAGGGGAAGGGGAGTCGGTGCCGTGGCAGTAGGAGTCGTTGGCGCGGTCGACGGCCGGACGGATGATGTCGGCGTTGACGGGCGTGTTGAGGATGGTGCACCTCGCGCCGCGAGCGGATAATATCGTGGCCATGTCGACGACCGGAATGAGGTGCCCGGGGGCGAAGAACGGGAGGAAGAGGATGTGCAGGGGTTGGAGCTGCTGCGGCTGCTCATCCCTGGTAGCCATGGACGCGTGCTCTGTCGATTGGAGTTCTAATTTCTTGGGTGGTTGTACACTTGTACTAGAGCGGATCGGAGGAGCCGAGGAGGAAGACTCTAGGAGGGTTGGAAGCAGATCGAGCAATAATGACGAGAGAATTTCTTATTTGGCCCATTCTTAAAATCTGGTTCCCTATTTGGCCCTTATTAGACGTAGGGTTTGTGGGAAGTGGCTCAACCCTTTAGGGGTGGCCTATCACATATATTTATAATGATACACAATATACATATTACACAGTTGGGCTACGTTACAAAGTCTAACACCCTCCCTCAATCTCAACTCACTCCTGATGCATCTAAGAGGTTGAGATTGCGCCTGCAGACCTCAAACATGGGAGAAGGTAGAGGCTTGGTGAAGATGTCGGCAAGTTAATCCTTTGAGGAGATAAACTTGATCTGTAGTAGCTTCTGTGCAACACGTTCCCTCATAAAATGATAGTCAATCTCAATGTGCTTGGTTCGTGCATGGAACACCGGATTTGTCGAAAGAAACGTAGCACCGATGTTGTCACACCAAAGAACTGGAGGATGTGACTGGGAGATTCCCAGCTCTCGAAGCAAAGACTCAATCCAGATAAGCTCAGCAGTCGCATTAGCAACTGCTTTGTACTCAGCCTCTGTGCTACTGCGAGAAAGAGTGGCTTGCTTGCGTGCACTCCAGGCGATCAAATTAGGACCCAGAAATACAGCATGTCCCCCCGTGGATCGCCTGTCATCTGGACACCCAGCCCAATCAGCATCTGAGAATGCAGAGAGAACAGTAGAGGAACTAGGTCGCAGATGAAGACCATAGGAGACAGTGAGACGCACATAACGGAGAATGCGCTTCGCAGCAGACCAGTGCACATCTGTAGGAGCATGAAGATACTGACATACCCTGTTAACCGCAAATGAAAGATCAGGACGGGTGATAGTCAGATACTGCAAGCCACCAACAATACTTTGATACTCCGTGGCATCCGTAGAAGAAAGAGGAGAACCAGCAGGGGCCGAGAGCTTATCCGTAGAGGACATGGGCGTGGGTGACGGCTTGCACTTGAGCATACCAGCACGGCCCAAGAGATCAAGGGAGTACTTTTTCTGAGTGAGAGCCAAGCTGCCACGAGACTGATGTGCAACCTCAATGCCCAGAAAGAAGTGTAGCTGTCCCAAGTCTTTAACCGCAAAATCTCTGCCAAGAGCAGTCACAAGAGCATCCGCAGCCGTGGCAGAAGAATTGACCAGAATTATATCATCCACGTACACAAGCAAATACATAGTCAGACTGGGGCGCTGAAATAAGAACAGCGAACTGTCAGCTGTCGACGGAACGAATCCATGAGTACGAAGGGCCGAAGCAAGACGAGCATGCCAGGCACGAGGTGCCTGTTTCAGTCCGTAGAGCGCCTTCGTCAGACGACAGAGATGATGAGGCCGATCTGGATCAACAAACCCTGGTGGCTGCCGCATGTAAACCTCCTCGTCAAGCAACCCATGGAGAAAAGCATTCTGCACATCAAGCTGTCAAAGAGACCAACCACGAGAGACTGCAAGAGACAAAAGAAGCCGGATGGTAGTAGGTTTAACAACCGGGCTGAATGTGTCCTCGTAGTCCAGACCCTGTCGCTGCTTAAACCCTCTAGCCACGAGACGCGCCTTGTAGTGCTCAATAGACCCGTCCGCATGTCTCTTGACTTTGAAAACCCACTTCGAATCAATGATGTTGACACGAGACGGAGGAGGAACTAATGTCCATGTCTCATTATGCAGAAGAGCGTTGTACTCTTGCTCCATAGCTGCCCGCCAGTGAGGAATACTCATAGCAACCTCATAGTGGCGTGGTTCATCAGTGGGATCTGCAATAGAATGAGCAAGACAGGCAGCCAAATATGTGACAGTACCATCATGACACTGCTTGGGTTGGACAATACCGCTGCGGCTGCAAGTATGCGGGCGTTGCGGTGCAACGGGCACAGGAGCCGGCGGCGCCAACACGGGAGAGGATGACGGCAGAGCGGGTGACGGGAGCCCAGGCGAGGGCTCAGGCTAGTCGACGATAGGCCCAGCCGACCCAGGCGAATGGGGCGGCAGGGACATGCGGGCGGTCGACGAAGGCGACGACAGAGGCGAGTCTGGGCGTGGAGGCGTGGACGGAGACCGCTTGAGCCGCCCAGGGGAAAGCGGCAGGGTCATGGGCCGCGCCTCAACTGTCGTGGGCTGCGCCGCGACTGTTGTGGACCGTGCCTTGGATGACACCAGCCCATTGTCGGAGACTAGCGCCGGTCCAGTTTCATGGACGGGCACGGCGCCAGAGGCAGGGTCCACGACGGGTGCAGGCACGTGCACGGACCGGTCAACATGCGCGATAGGAGTTGTATCTGGAAGAAGTTCCAGGCGAGCACCATGTCCAACACCTGCACCATGGTTAGGTAACAACACAGGCGAATATGCAACATCTTCAAATTGGCCAAGAATAAGAGGAGATGAATGCATAGATGGTGGTGTGGAATGTTGCTGCGGCATGGAGGAAAAGGGAAAGACGTTCTCATCAAAGACAACATCACGAGATATATAGACACGATTTGTTGGCACATGAAGGCACTTGTAGCCTTTATGAAGAGAGCTAGAACCTAGAAACACACATTTCTTAGACCGAAATTCAAGCTTTCTAGAATTATATGGACGAAGATGGGGCCAACAAGCACACCCGAACACCTTAAAGAAGGTATAATCAGGAATCTCATGTAAAAGGAGCTCAATAGGAGTTTTCATATTAATGACACGCGTAGGTAGATGGTTAATAAGAAAACATGCTGTAGCAAAGGCATCACTCCAAAAACGAAAGGGGACAGACGCATGAGCCAAGAGTGTGAGTCCGGTCTCAACTATATGTCGATGCTTGAGCTCAACAGCGCCGTTTTGCTGATGTGTATGAGGACGTGATAAACGATGAGAGATCCCAAGCTTATTAAAGAAAGCATTGAGGTTGCGATATTCGCCCCCCCCCAATCAGACTGAACATGAATAATCTTATTCTTGAGAAGACGTTCTACATGCACTTGAAACTGAATGAATATATCAAACACATCAGATTTGCGCTTAAGAAGATAAAGCCAGGTAAAGCGACTATAGGCATCAATAAAGCTAACATAATAGTTGTGACCACTCACAGAAGTTTGAGCGGGACCCCACACATCAGAGAACACAAGTTCAAGAGGACTCGTTACTTGACGAGTAGAAGAAACAAATGGCAACTGATGACTTTTGCCTTGTTGACAGGCATCACACACGGACATCTCCTTATTACTAGACTCAATAGGCAGCTCATGACAGTGAAGTATATGACGAACTATGGGAGTGGCAGGGTGACCAAGGCGAGAGTGCCACTGGGAAGGCGACACACGAACACCACTGAAGACGCGCGGGGCGGATGGATCCTCCAAGCGGTATAAGCCATGGCTGAGACGACCACTAAGCAGAATTTCCCGGGTGGCTCAGTCCTTAACAAAAAGATCAAACGGGTGAAATTCACATAGGACATTGTTATCAAGAGTGAGTTTTGGAATAGATAACAGATTAAGAGTCACCGAGGGGACCCGTAAAATATTACGAAGATGAAGCTGCCTAGATGGATGACTAGTTAAGAGAGATGCTTGACCAACGTGAGAGATGGGCATACCTACACCGTTGGCGGTGTGAACCTTGTCGGGACCGTAATATGGCGCATGGGTGGACAGCTTGGTGAGCTCGTTCGTCATATGATTTGTGGCGCTAGTGTCCATATACCACACAGGATATGACGGTGTATAGCCGGGGTCGATGCGTGCATCCTTGCTCTTGGCAGCAACATGAGAAGCAGGAGGGCCAAAGTCCACCATGGCGAATTGTTGCTCATTACCTTTTCCATCGTTGCCAATACCCAGGAAGCTCCGCGGAAACCTCTTGTGGCACTTGGAGGCGACATGCCTCTCACGCCTGCAAAGCTGACAGCCTACAGGGCCTCCGCCCAAGGGTGGCGCTGGCGGGTTGGTGACACGGGCAGGCGGCGAAGACGCAGGGGGGCGCTGGCCACGCGAGGCCCAGAAGGCCGGGGGCTGGTCGGCGATGGAGTTGGTGGAGCGGCGAGCTTCGATGCGTTGCTCGGTGAAGAGCAGCCGGGAGAAGAGCTCGTGCGGCGGAAGTGGCGGCTTGGCGTTGTGTACGGCCTCGGCAAGGTTGTCGTAGTCAGCATGAAGGCCCTTAATCACATAGCCGGCAAACTCCTCATCACTCAATGGTCGACCGATAGAGGTCAATGTATCCGCCAAGACCTTGAGTTTGTTGAAGTATGTTGTGGCCGAGGAGTCCAGTTTCTTGACATCATCAAGCTTGCTGCGAAGAGCCATCGCGTGAGCAGTGGAGGTCTGGGCAAACACATGTTCCAGAGTCGTCCATGCATCCAAGTAGGAGGCAGCAAAGAGACAAAGGCCAGCGACCCCGTCTCCAAGGGAACCCTGGATGGCAGAGAGGATCGCTTGGTCCTATTGCACCCACACACGGTGCGCCGGGTTGATGGCCGGGCCGTGGACGGTGTGAAGGACCTGCGGCGGACACAACAGAGAGCCATCGACATAGCCAAGGAGGGAGCGGCTGCGGAGCAGTGGTAGAACCTTGGTGCGCCAAAACAAGTAATTGTCCGGCGTGAGATGAGTCATGATGAGATTGTCGAAGTGGAAAGGCCCGGAGATCAGGGCGGCGTCCGCGGCAGCTACCGCGGAGACCGGCGGGGCTGGGGGTGTCACACCCGCACGCTGATCGTCGGAGCCCCCCGAGGCCGCCGACATGATGGTGAGTGTTGGGGACGAGCCAGCGGTAGCCGCCGGTGGCGCGAACATCGCGGCGGTGGAGGCCTCCACGATCGACGGCGCAGGAGACGGCGGGATCGGGGCGGAAAACAGTGAGCTCACCGCCGTGGTGCCAAAGAAGTGCGGCGTCGACGAGGCACCAGTG